TCAAGTCCTGGTCTTTCGTAAGTAGATTACAAACCTCAATTTGCTGCAACAGTGGGGGTGGGTGGGAAGAGAGGAGACCCACCCTCTGGCTACCATAGATAAAAGTGAAGTAGGGAAAAGGAAGAGGGAAGAGGATTCTCACCCTTTCCTGGAAGGGTGTGGCCTGTGGCACACCCAGGGAAGCAACTCTGCAACCAGTGAGCCCTCCCGCCCCCAGCGCAAGATGCAAAGTCACTTCTCTTAGTTGCAGTGCTCCTTTCCCTTAAAAATGCTTTGGGGTAGCCTTCACTGTGTAGGAAGCTTTAGGGCATGAAACACATATCCAGTGTGCGCTATAGCAGGGTTCGGGAACAAGGGCCATTTTATAACTTGTGGACTTCAACTCCCAGAATTCCTGAGCCAACATGGCTGGCTCAGGAATTCTGGGAGTTGAAGTCCAGAAGCCATAAAAGGGCCATGATTGTTCTACAGACCTGTTGAAACCGTATTTTAAACACACACCCTTCTTCTGAAGAACTGCAGCACACAAGCTATTTGAGGGGAGGCTATGGAGCTGCTATGGGAAGCTTTGAACAGGTGACACCCCTTTCCTGTGTCTGGAGAACTAGTATAAAACATGCCCATTCCACCTCCTTCTCTCCCTGCCATTCATTGGAAAGAGAGATGTCTGTGTGACATGTAGGAGACTGTTCTCTTAAGGTCTTGACAAGTAATATGGCTCTGGAGAGGGAGAATGGCAGGGTATGCCTGCAGTAAGGCCTCAGGTGGTCAGTAGAAACAGGGCAGACTCCCCTCCTAAGTGCCCTTCCAAACATTTTGCCACACTTTGAACACTTGGTGTAGCTTCTTGAAGCAGAAATGAGAGGAGGAAAAAGCCACATCTGAAGCACAGCAACTATGGTAAAGGTCCTCTTCACAGAACACTGGGGCTGTTGTGCATTTATGTTCCCACAAACAGCTTGTGGAACAATTGTACAGCAAGGCAAGTAGAGAGTTTAGATAAGTGTTGTGGCCCACCAGTGGAGTTGGTGTCAGACTCAGACAGTGAGGAGGTTGGGGAGGAACATGGGCCAGTCCTGGAGTCTGGGGAAGGCTGACGAGGACTCTTTGTTGGAGGCAGGGCCAGGGCCATCTAATAGTTATCAGCTGCCTTCGGAGTTGGACATCAGCGGGGCAGAAGAACAGCTGGAGCCTGTTCCCAGTGTGCGCATGCGCAGACTTGCCAGGAGAAGGGAATAGCTAAGGAGCAAGGGCTGACTCGGGAGTGAAGCCACAGGTGGATGGTGAATGGCCCCTCCCATAGGGAATAAAGAGGAGTGAAAGGTGAGGGGAGTTTGCAGGAGACAATTAGTTCATTCCTGCATTCTTGCCAAGTATTGTCTGCTACAGCGTGGCATTTGGAAGATATTGGCCTGGCCGCTGCCCAAGCCTGATAAAGCTCTGTAATTGTGAAATCTCTTGGAAGACTGTTGGCCAGGACTTTGCTGGAGAGGAATTCCCTTTAACCTAAATAAAAGAGGTTTTATCGGGACGAGGAGTCTGTTTCGTGCTTTTGCGAAGCCTAGGTCAGGACAATAAGTCCCAAATCCCTTTAATCAAATAACATATCAAGTCACGTGGGACCTGCTTCCCTGAGCTGCTTTCCTCATACAGTCACAAAAAGGATATTCAGTGTATCAGCAAAGCCAGTTGCAAGAATCTTCCCAGTCTCAGAATTGGCTGAGAATCCATAGAACATTTATTGTACAGGTTTAATAAACACATTTATTATGTAGATACTGTGTCTTATATTATAAATCAAACATACATTCCTATGCTCACAGCCATACTATTAATAAGTTCAGAATATCCCTTATTTGGGGCATTATGTATATAACAACAGTGAAAAAAATTACATTTTTGGGGAGGAGACAAAAAGCAAAGAGCCAGTATAGACGTATTAAAGAAAACAACTTTAGTCATATACTTCCTTTCCCATCTCCAGAACTGCAGAGGAATTAAATGATACATGCTCCATTTTTCTACTTCACTATAGTATTTCTCAAAACGTTACAACACAAAACAACTCTTCAGTGATGGTGGCAGTGGTAGATCCAGGAGGATGCGGGGAATACTATTTACAATACCCAAATGGGGTTCTTTTCTGGAAACGTTTTACAAGGAAAGTTCCACAGCAGAGGATACATACAAACCCCTTTTAATCAGAATACTCGCTATCAAAAAATAGTTGGCAACAGGTTGTGGCATTCTTGGGGACAGGAGTATTGCAATTAGTCAGGGAGTAACTGTCAAAGAGATCTAGCCACTTGATCTGAGTTTGGGGAAAGGAACTTTCTGGGGAGGAGCAGGGCCAGAAACCATGGATGCCCTTAATGTCAGGCCTCTCGTGGAGATTCGGCGTGGGCTGCTGGTTTTCATGGGGAAGGAACAGAAGCTTAGATTTCTTGGCCTTTCTGTCCTGGAGACTGCCTGTCTTTTTCTCACTCAAAACCAGGGGCCTCAAGCTAATACTACCAGATTCCCTCGCTTCCCTACAGGCGTATTCTGCAATGGAGTGTCCTTTTCCCGTTGTTTCCTGTTTTACATTAGCCCTGGAATATTTCAAACCGTTTCCTTTCCTGGAGGGGTACATTATTTTCCTCTGGCTAGACAACCGTGGCTTGCCCTGTTTAACTCTGTTTCCTTTGCTTTTATTATTCATCCTGCCCGGGGTGAGCTCCTCGCTTTTCCCATCCCCTGCACGATTTCGCACGAACCCATTAGCCATCTCAGGAAGGTTTAGCCGTGACTGTTTTGTAGCGCTGTAGCCTTTCGCTTGGTTGTTTCTCTGGATCACTTTCCTTACCGGAGTAGCTTCGTTTGGCTCTTGACTAACGAGCCACTTTCTCTCTTGGCTTTTTGTAAGGAGACTTGCACTGCAGCAACAAAGCGTTTTGTCGGCATTGGGGCCTGCGGCTGGAATATGGCTCTTCTGCCGGATGTCAACATTTTCTTTACTTTCTGAGGCAGCCTTATTAGATATGTCTTTGTTTGCAGGAGAGATGGTTAGAACAGTCAAGTGGCAACTGTAAGATAATTGGTCCAGCAGCATATCTGGAGACGTCTGGGAGCTGTTATCCTTGAGACGATGAGATTCTTTGGGTGCAGAAACGAATGCTTGCAAGTCATTCAGAATTTTGGAAAGCCTCACGGGGTCCAATTGTTCACAGATCTTCAAGTGCTGCTGGTTCTGCTGAACTGTAAATTGCTCCAGACTATCTTTTAGCAATTGAAGGCTAGACTTCAGATCTGAGATCTCCGTGTCTTTCTGTGGAAAGTGGTCATAACAGCGGAGAAAACGGTTAAGATGGGTTTAAAAATACTTTCATTCCAAATACAACACGGCGCATAATTTATTAAACATTTCTCTCCGCTGAAGGGCATGTCATGCATTGTATTTTCTTTATAATGGGTGGGGGAAGTAGGTATGTTTCTCTTTTTTATATAGGCTAAAGAGTTCTAAAGAGTTTATTGTTATGCCTTGAAGCCAAACGTGCAGTACCTTCAAAATACATGAACTGTAACTAACATTTGTGCAACGTTCACTACATTATGAAACAGACAAGTGATTTATTACTTTGAATTTCCCATGTATCAAAAAAGACATCCCCTCCCCAACTGGGGATTTTATCAAGTTTGAATTAAATCCAATATCGTGTAGGACAGTGATGGAGAACCTTTTTGCCACTCGTCAAGTGGAAATGTCGCACATGTGTGCTTGTCGAGGCTGCACTCCAGAAAAGCCAAACTTCCGGATTTTGGTGTGCATGCACGACCGACAATCAGCTGGCTGGAGCACATGCGCAGGCTGGTTTTCGGCATTGCTGTCTGTGTGAAGGGATTGCGCTCCGTAAAAGCCAACCTTACGGGTTCTGGCATGCCTGCACATCTGACAAACAGCTGATGGGTGTGCATGTGCACACTGGTTTTCAGCACTGTCATATGCGCGAAGGACAGCTGATTGTTGCACATGCACGCCAGAAATCTGGAAGACAAACATCCAAGTCCACGTGTGCCAGGCATCATGGCTTCACATGCCACTTTGGGTACCAATCACGGGTATAGGAGGACTGCAACTTGTACAAAGCAACAAAGAATGGCACATGTAACACCTCTGCTCCACAAACTGCACTGGGTATTGGTTTGCTTACGGGTTCAATCAAGGCGTTAGTTATGTCTTACAAGACATGTACATGGCCCTACATGCCATGGGGGCGGGTTACCTACAGAATTGGCTTTATCCAATTTCATTGGCCCATTCCTCCTGATCAGGCAGAGATGATACATTGCAGGTCCTGTCAGCTAAAGAACTCTGACTAGCGGGGTATATGACTGGCAGGATATAGGAAGAGATTCTTCCCTGCCATTGTCCCCACCCTGTGGAATATTCTCCCCCCACCTCAAAAGTGAGGCAGGTCCCCACTCTCCTGGCCTTCTGAAAAGAAAACATGGCTCTTTGACCTCACATGGGGAACCCATGCGGTTATGGGGCTGGTTGGTGCCATGAGAATCTCAAATCACCTTAATTATTTTTTAACAGAGTTTTATATACTATTTTTATACTTCGAGGTTTTACTGAATGAGTCCCTCTCTGAAGGAGATGGGTGATTCAGGAATGAGAAAATAAATAAATAAAATTGTCTTACTTTCTTTCTCCTATATCCCACATTGCCCAAAGTTGGCTCTGCAATGTTTTAAAGCAAAGATGGACACCTGGAGAAACCCTGTGGTTTTATTGTCTGTAACATGAAGTAGTATAGTTTCAACTTTTAATTTGCTTAAAGCTGTCTCTAGAGAGTTAAATAATCATAATATTTGTTATAGATGTCAGCTTTCAAAACTTTACCACTGAAGTATTAAAAATGTAATTCCTCAATGGTAGTTTTGAAAGATGACATCCATAAAAAAAAAGATTATGACTTGGGGTCCCTTTGTGACCCTAATAGATTTTCCACACTCCTAGACCCTTATTAACCCATATCAGCTTCCTGGCTGTCTTCAAAGGGCTATAGTGCAACTCCAGGGGAAAATATTTTGTTCTGCTAATAAAAGTGAAAATGTTAGCAGAAAGTTTGAGTTTGAGTTTGAGTTTATTGGGATTTATAGGCCGCCCTTTTCCCTGAGGGG